TTTCCAATCGAGGCCATTCTGGGATTCTGTGCCTTCCATTCCCTGAGGCCCTGGGAAGGGGGCATGGCTGCCTGCTGCTCCTGGCCAAGGCCACTGAGGAAGCTCAGAGTGGAAGGGACCAGCACCCCTTTGCTGCTGTGATTTCTAGGGAGGATGCCGGGTTGCTCAGAGTGCTGACAAACCAGCACCAAAAGCAAACCACAGCACTTGGTTCTCGCAGAGACAGACGGTCCCTCCCTGCCACCCTGGCACACTCACCACAAGAGAATTCCACCACACGTGCAGGGTCCACACCAGCACAGGACAGCAGCTGCTCTCGAAAATCAGCCACCTACGAACCACAAACCAAAGAGAGATCAAGTACCAGTGTCCCAAAAACTGCATCAGCAGCTCTGGCACTGCCCCTTGAGCGCCAACATCGAAGGAGAGCGGGTCAGCTCTGCTGGTGGGTTGCTGGCACAGGGGAGATGGATGAGAAAAATCAACAGCATGGGAATGCTGAGCACAGAGGCCAGGGCTGGGGGGCACAGGGGAGGAAGGGCCTGCAGAAATCCTGCACGGTCAGTGTGCTGGTTTGGGCTGGGACAGAGTTAATTTTCTCCACAGCAGCTGGTACGGGGCTGTGGTTTGGATTTGTGCTGGAAACAGTGTTGGTAACACAGGGATGTTTCGTTATTGCCGAGCAGGGCTCACACAGAGTTCCCCTGCCTGGATCCACCCAGCCTCTCCTGGCCCAATGTGCCACAATTTCAGCCTTCCCAGGCCCAAAGACTCATTACCAGGAGCTGCACAGACCACAGCTTGGGGTGCAACTACATCCTCTCTCCAAGCTGCAGTCTGAAATGTTCGACGTTGGAATGGCGGCCTTCCAAAAAGGAGGTCCTGCACTTCACACCCACCTTCCCTCCCCTGTCACAAGGGCAAAGAGGAAATGTCCAGACATTCGTGTCCAGGACCAGGATAAATATCTCTAACTGGGAGAGCTGTCACACCCCACTGCATCTGTACAACACCAACACACTGCCTCTTGGGCACTACAGCAACAGGAGAAGGACGATAAGCTGCCTGCCACCGTATCATTACTGAAGTCTTGATTTTTCTGACAGATCCCTTCTGGATCCCTGTCCCTTTAGAAGGTCAGCTGGTTTTACAAGGTCCTCTGACTGCTATCTGTGCTAGTTCCAACCTACCACAAGCTCAGCCTCAGCCTGTATCATCTTAAGGACGAGAAAGCCTGACAAGGGCATTGCCCTCGTACCTACAAGTTTTTCCATGTGTGTGACGCCTCGTGCAGGGAGACGGCACCAGGGAGATAAAAGGGTAGGCAGGAGAAATCTTTTCCCACACGTGCTGTGGGAAGTGAAAAGAAGAGCACATCCCAGTGGGACCAGGCTGGTATCTTTCCATGCCTGCTTCCAGATAGCACCAGAGACCTCCTGAGAGCTCTGCTGATTCCCTCACCGGCTGCATGGTGCCCCCAGCGATGATTACAGCCCGGCATTCTTCCACCACCTTGGCAAAGTGGACAGCTGGGTTCAGCAAGAGGAATTTGAGGCTGCTCTGCCCAACTGTGCCTGGGAAAAGGAGAGAAACTGCATCAGGAGCTGGCTGTGACACGTGCTCAGGGATATGAAAGATTCTCCTTCCTGCCCTGGGTGCTCTGGCAGGTCCCTGCCTCTACAAATAAGGACCTGCTGCTATTCAACAGTGCCAGGGCAGCAGCAGGTTACACCAACCTGGAAATTACCTCCTGCTTCCTAATCATCCTGGAGCTGTGGAAGAGACACAGGAAATTGCAAGGCAAAGACTGACAACATGGGAGCAGAGCTCTGCAAACCCTTGGCCTCAATGCCCCTGGTTAAGAACTCCTTTGGGTACGTAAGCATTGTCCTGGCTTTGCTGGGACAGAGTTAATGTTCTTCTCAGCAGCTGGAGCAGCTGTGTGTTGGGTTCAGTGTGGGATTTGTGATGAGAAGAATGTTGATCAGGTACCAGTGTCATTAGTTGCTGCTGCAGCCCAAGCTCATTGTGTTTGGGGAGTTGCAGGTGCAAAGGGCTGGGAGGGGGGAAGCGCAGTAATTAGCAAAACCCCAAATTGGCATTTGGCTCTGCCAATGGGATATTCCATCTCCTATCCCAGCATGGGCAGGACATGAACCAGGGGGATTCTCTTGAGAATCACTCAGGCTCTCGCTCTCCCAGGATTGCAGTTTGGGTTTGGGGACTGTCTGTGCTCCGGGATCACTGGCTGGGACAGGCTGGGCATCGGTCAGTGGGTGGTGAGCAACTGCACTGGGCATCACTCATTTGCATATCCTGTTAGTACTGTTATTATTATTTTATTTCAATTAGGAAATTGTTTTTATTTCAACCTATGAGTCTCCTTGCCCTTTTCCTTCCAATTCTCTCCCCTGTTCCCTGAGGGGTGGGGAGAGAGTGAGTGTGTGACTGTGTTTGGCTGCAACCAAAGGAGTGAAACCACCACAGCACCCTCAGACAGACCAAGCCCATCAGCCTGCATCACGGGTGGCACGAGCCCCCCAGGCTCAGGATCTCCTCCCTCACTTGCCAGTGAAGCGCTCTGCTTGCGACTTGTGCCACCTCTCCCCATCTTGCCCCTTCCAATACCTTGCCTGTTGAGAATGACTCTGCCATCTTGGTTTGCATTCGTGAGGGCTGAGAGAAATCCTTCAATCTGCATCAGTGGAGAGGCAGTTCGGAGCTGGTCATTCTCAGCCTCCACGGGAGGACTCTGGGTACCTGCTGGCCCAAAGAGAAAAGGAGAGGCAGGCAACTTAGGCCACGCTTCTGACAACAGGGATGAAGTGTGAAATATAGATGGGATCTTTCTACAGGAACATGATACCTGGTCTACATACACAGGCAGAGAACAAAGACCCAGTAACGAAGAGAACCCAAATTCTGGCTCATTGCTAGCAAAAATAAAGAAAGATCTGGATTTGTAACTGGCATCACTCAACAGAGCTACCCATGGCAGCTCAGGTCCCAGAGCCAGCAGGTCACAGCAGGGCAAACCTTGAGTGCATGCAGTAGAAACATGGAACTGCATCATTCAGCTTGGAAGGGACCTCTGGAGATCTTCTGATGATAGGTACAGTTGCCTAGGTCATCTAGTCAGATATATATATTAAAAACCACCTGCACAGGACAGCTTCTGCAGCCTATCACCCTTCAAACCTGCCTCCCCTCATGCAGACAGATGTAGGTTCCAAATCCTCGCTTTGTCCACAGATGTGCAAGTGGAGGATGTCTGAACTCACCCTCCTTATCAGATCCCTGCTGGAGGGTCAGAAGAAAGTTCTGCAAACCACCCAACTTCTGGTTCTCCTTGTTGGTCTTCACAGCTGTGGCAGGGCCTCCGTATCGCTCCACAAACCCAAAAAGCTGCCAAGCAAAAGCCAGTAAGACTATGAACAGCAGG